CCCGCTGGGCTTCGGCTATATAGACCCAGAGACTGCATGCAGCAGCATAGCAGCAGCAGCAGCAGACAGTCAGCAGCTCGCGGATTTGCTGCTGCAGGTCCTCGAAGACATGCTGCCTCTCATTTCCTGGAGGTCAGACACCCCCTGCTGCTGCTGCTGCTGCTGCTGCTGCTGCTGCTGCTGCTGCTGCTTGCTGCTGCTGCGTGCTGCTGTTCCTTATGCTGCTGCTGCTGCTGCTGCAGCTGCTCAGGCAGCAGCAGCAGCAGCAGCAGCAGCAGCAGCAGCAGCAGCAGCGTTTTAGAAGAGCATTTGCGAGTGCATTAGCGGATGCCTGGTTTGCGAAAAGAGGGACTAAAAGGGTTTGAATAAACGCCCTTTTAGGGTTTCGAGGGTTTAGGGTTTAGGGTTTAGGCGTTGGGAGCATGGTTTGCGAAAAGAGGGAATAGAAGTGTTTGAATAAACGCCCTTTTAGGGTTTCGAGGGTTTAGGGTTTAGGGTTTAGGCGTTGGGAGCATGGTTTGCGAAAAGAGGGAATAGAAGTGTTTAGGGTTTAGGGTTTAGGGTTTAGGGTTTAGGGTTTGTGCAGAGGCGTGGTGGAGAAGCGGTGTTTCGTGGAGAGTTTGCTGCAGTGGGTGGAAGCGGACTGCAGCGGCTGCAGCATTTACAGCAACTTGAGATATTCTCAAAACTTAATTTCTGCTGCTTTCAAAAACAAATTTAAATGCACTTTGCCCACCGCCCGCAGCTTCTACTCGGGTGTACGTACACCCCAACCAGCTGCGCGGGGTGTACGTACACCCCAAGCAGGTGTACGTACACCCCACGCAGGTGTACGTACACCCCGCAGAAAGGTCCGCCCAAACCCTAAACCCTAAACCCTAAACCCTAAACCCTAAACCCTAAACCCTAATAACTTTAAGGCGGGGTTTGGGGGCGGCGCGGGGCGCCGCAGGACTGGGAGGGGGGCTTTGGGAGTCAGGAGGCGCGGCTGTGCGCTGCAGGCCGCCCAAACCCTAAACCCTAAACCCTAAACCCTAAAAGGTGGTTTTTCGCGCGCGTTTTTGTTCGGGCGTAGTTTCGTGTGGTTTTTTCGCGGGATTGTTCCTCGTTTGTTTTTCTTGATTTATTTTCTACTTTTAATTTATTTTTAATTTATTTTTAATTTATTTTTAATTCTTTTTTATTAATTTTCGCACAATAAAAAGACTTCAATGCTTTTGCTGCAGACTGTTGCTGGAGACCTCGCAGCCCATATTGCCCAGGGAAAAGAAAGAAAAGAAAAACAAAAAGAATTAATTCAAAAACTAGAAAGAGAAAAAGAACTTGGTGAATTATTTAATTAATTTAATTAATTTAATTTAATTAATTTAATTTAATTTAATTAATTTAATTCAATTTAATTAATTTAAGTTAATTTAATATAATTAATTTAATATATTTAATTTAACGTAATTAATTTAAAAAGGAACTAAGTCAAAAAGGATTTAATTAATTGTTTTGTTTTTCATGTTAATTCAAAAACTGAAAAGCGAAAGGAATTTGGTAAATTATTTAATTAATTCAATTTAATTAATTTAATTCAATTAATTCAATTCGATTAATTCGATTTAATTAATTTTGATTTAATTAATTCGATTTAATTAATTTAATTTAATTAATTCAATTTAGCTCAATTTGCATTTTGTCTTTTTGTATTTTTTAAGTTTTATTTTATTTCTTGTTTGTTTAATTATGTTTTTTGTTTTCTTTTGTTCCTTTCATTTATTTGTATTTGTTTGTTTAATTATATCTTTTTGCTTTATTTAATTAATTAATTTATTTATTGAATCATATTTTATTTATTTATTTATTGAATTACATTCTTTCCTATTTCTTTGTCTCTTTATATCTTTGGCTCTTCTTTTCTTTTTCTGTATTTAAATCTTTCTGTGTTTTTTCTTTTTATCTTTTTAATTTTAAAATCCTTTTTATATCTTTTTGGCTCTTTTTTATTTCTTTTTTTTGTTTTTTGTTTATTTATATCTTTTCATATTTTTTGTTTATATCTTTTATCTTTTCTATCTTCTTGTGTTTTAATTTCTTTCTTTAATTTAAATCTTTTTACCTTTTTGTTATTTTAGATCTTTTTATCTTTTTGTTCATTTAAATCTTTTTATCTTTTATTTAAATCTTTTAATCTTTTTTATTTAAATATTTTAAATTTCTTTTTGTCCTTTTATTTCTTTTTATGTCTTTTGTCCTTTTATTTCTTTTTATGTCTTTTGTCCTTTTATTTGTTTATATCTTTAATATCTTTTTTTCTATTTTTCCTTTTTATATCCTTTTTATCTTCTTTGCTTTTATTTCTTTTATTTCTTTTACCTTTTTGTTTATTTATTTCTTTTAATTTCTTTTGTATCTTTTTATTCTTTATCTTTCGTCTACTTTTTTCTTTTTATTTCTTTTGATATCTTACTTATTCTTTTCCTTTTATTTCTTTTATTTCTTTATCTTTTTATGTATTTATTTATTCTATATCCTTTTATTTCTTTTAATCCTTTTGTTTATTTATTTTATTTATATCTTTTTTGTTTCTTTTTATACTTTTGTCCTTTTTGTCTTTTTATTTCTTTTTTTGTCTTTTGGCTTTTGCATTTTTCGTGTCTTTTATTTCTCTATTTTCTTTTTTCAGTTTTATTTCCTTTTTCCTTTTTATTTATTTTTTTCTTTTTCTTTGTTTTATTTCTTCTTTTTTTTTATATCTTTTAATTACTTTTAATTTCTTTTAATTTCTTTCATTTCACTTGACTTCTTTTACCTATTTCATTTCATTTCATTTATTTCTTTTTCATTTTAAACGCTTCAATTCATCTCAGTTATTTTAATTTAATTTAATTTAATTTAATTTAAATTAATTTAATTTAATTTAATTTAATTAATTTAACTAAATTAATATAATTAAATTAATCAATTTATTTTGTTTGAATTTCATTTCAGCTGAATGTTCCTTCAAACCCCAAACCACAAAAATGCCAAATTTCGGAAAACCCTCGATGAGCCGCAGAGAGCTCCTCGCCCAGACTCAGGTAAACCCTAAACCCTAAACCCTAAACCCTAAACCCTAAACCCTAAACCCTAAACCCTAAACCCTCGGTTAGGCAGCCTCGCCTCTGAGCCGTTCAACTGCCAGCTGCCCCACAAACCCTCTTGAAAGCCTCAAACCCTAAACCCTAAACCCTAAACCCTAAACCCTAAACCCTCGCGGTCTTTGGGGTTTCTCGTCTGGGGTATGAGCGAGAGTTTAGGGTTTGCGGGTGCTGCTGGTGGTTTAGAAGAAGAAAAAAGAAAATGAAAAAGAAGAAATAAATAAATTTGTGAAAAGAGATCTTGTTGAGGTGGACAGACACCCCGCGACTCCGCCGGAAACCCCACACTTTTTGGAAAAAGAAAAAAAAGAAAAAAAAGAAAAAAAAGAAAATCAAAAAAATGAAAAAAATGAAAAAAATGAAAAATCAAATTTCCATCAAAATAAACAACAACAAAACATTCTTCTCGAGTCTCCTCGCCAGCAAACGGATTCTTCCAGTCAGCAGCATTTTAAATTCTTTTTCTTTTTTCAAATTTCTTTTTTTTCTTTTTTTAATTTCTTTTTTTAATTGCTTTTTCTCAATTTGTTCTTCATTTTCCCTTTTACACTTTTTCTCTCTTTAAGCCTTTTTGTCTCTTTTTTGTCTTCTTTCTTTTTCTTTCTTTCTACTGTCTTTTCTTCTCTTTTTTTTTCTTTTTGAATCTTTTTTTACATTTGTCTTGTCCCTTTTTGTATCTTTTTTGTGTCTTTTTTGTTTCTTTTATATCTCCATTTAACATCTTTTTCGTCTCTTTTTTGTTTTGTTTTTAGTGCCTTTTTTGTCTCCTTTTTATCTCTTTTTTGTCTCTTTTCTTAATCTCATTTGTCTCTTTTTTGTTTCTTTTTTGTCTCTTTTTCATTTCTTTTTTGTGTCTCCTTTTCATTTCTTTTATCTCTCTTTTGTTCTCTCTTTTTTCCTTTTTGATTTCTTTTTGTCTTTTTATTTTTTGTTTTTGTCTTTTTCATTTTTCCTTTTTGTCTTTCCTTTTATCCTTTTATCTTTTAATCTTTTAATCTTTTAATCTTTTTAATCTTTTAATCTTTTTAATCTTTTAATCTTTTAAATGTTTTAATCTTTTAAATCTTTAAATCTTTTTAATTTCTTCTCCCCTCTTTATCTCTTTTGTCTTCATCTATTTTCTCTTTTTCTTTTCATAACTCCCTTCAACTCTTTTAATTATGCCCTTCTTTTGCTTCCAATAGCAATTTAATTACTTTAATTATTTCCATTATCAAATTAATTAAATTAATTAAATTAATTAAATTAATTAATTTAATTTAATTAATTTAATTATTTTAATTGTTTCTTTTTTCCCCTCAGAGCCTCCTGGGGGCCCCCCCTACACGTTGTGGCTGATGCAGGAGGGGGCCCCCCCCCCTAAACCCTTTTCTTTTGAAGAGGCCTTAAGGGGGGCCCCCCTGCCTCCAGTACCCCTTGACGAGTTATCTCCTGCAGCAGAAGGGGGCCCCCCAAGAGCAGCTAAACCCTCCCGAGGGGGCCCCTAGGGGGGGCCCCTGCTGCCTATACACCCGAACCCTGCAGGGGAGGACCCACTTTGGCAGCAGCAACACATTTAGCTGTGTCTCCTCCTTACGCGCTGCTTCCGCAGCAGCAGCAGCAGCAGCAGCAGGAGCAGCAGCGGCAGCAGCTGCTGCAGCAGCAGCTGCAGCAGCAGCTGCAGCAGCAGCTGCAGCAGCAGCTGCAGCGGGAGCCGCTGACCAGTGGTCTGGGCGCTGCCTTCCAAAGGCCCTACTGCAGCAGCAGCAAACCTCGAGAGACACCGCAGCAGCGGCGCATGCGGCTGGGCCTCTGCAGCAGCCCCTCGCCCCCAGCAGCAGCAGCAGCAGCAGCAGCAGCAGCAGCAGCAGCAGCAGCAGAACTCCGGGTCTTGGCGAAAAAGGAAGTCTTCAGAGATGTCCAAGAAGACCCCCTGCTTTGGGAAATTAACACCAAAGACTTCAGCAGGGTCAGCAGCAGCAGCAGCAGCAGCAGCAGCAGCAAAGTAAAACACGGCCAACGCAGCAAACGCGCCTTCTAGTGTACAGACACCTGAGGTGTACAGACACCTCGAGGTGCCTGTACACCTCGAGGTGTCTGTACACCTCGAGGTGTATAGGCACCTCCAGGTGTACAGACACCTTGAGGTGTCTATACACCTCGAGGTGTATAGCCACCTCGAGGTGTACAGACACCTGGAGGTGTGCAGACACCTGGAGGTGTGCAGACAGCTGGAGGTGTCTATACACCTGGAGGTGTACATTGAGCTTGAGGTGTCTATACACCTCGAGGTGCCTATACACCTCGAGGTGTCTATACACCTCAAGGTGTGCAAGGCGTTGAGGTGTCTATACACCTCGAGGTGTACAGACACCTGGAGGTGAACAGACACCTGAGGTGTGCAGTGACTTGAGGTGTACAGACACCTGAGGGGCACAGTGAGTCTGAGGTGTACAGACACTTGGAGGTGCACAATCAGTTTGAGGTGTACAGACACCTGGCGTTGTTTCTTTTGGCTTCTGGGGTGTATAGGGAGGTCTGTAGAAAGGCGCTTTGGGGTGTACGTACACCTGCTGCTTTTTTTTGTTTTTTCCACCAAGCCAAGGGGAATTTGGCCCTTTATTTGCTTCACTTTATTTGTTTTTTATTTTCTTTTCTTCTTTTTGCTTCATTGGCAAATTTATTCTTTAACGGGGCTGAGGTGTACGTACACCCGAACTCGCAGGCGCCCATCGGCCGCCGGGAACTCAAAAGGCCCTTTTAGGGAATTTTTGAGAAAAGTTTGAGACATTTAAAAAGACTTTTTGGGAAAAGTTTGAAACATTTAAAAAGACTTTTGGGGTTTTTAAAAAGTAATTTAAAAGACTTTTTGGGAAATGTTTGAGACATTTAAAATGACTTTTGGGGTTTCTAAAATGTAATTTAAAATGCTTTTTGTAATTACTTTGAAAGCGATTAAAAGGCACTTTAAGAATTTTAAAAAGAATTTTAAAAAGGACTTCTTGAGGTCTTCAGAAGTCTTTTCAAAAGGACATTTTAGAAGCTTTTTGGGAATTTCCTTAGGGGACTTTTAGTGCAATTTAAATGGCATTTTGAAAAGCTTTAAATGGATCTTTTTGGGATCTTTTTTAGGAGTTTAAATGCTTTAAAAAGACACTTAAAATAAATTTAAAAGGTCCTTTAAAGGGGCTTTTCAAGGGCTTTCTAAGGGCCCTTTAGAGGCCTCGTGCGAGCCCCAAGGGGGCCCCAGGGGGGCCCCTTGGGGCCCCCCGGGGGCCCCTTGTAGGCCCCCAGAGTCCCCGTTGGGGCCCCTAGGGGCCCCCTAGGGGCCCCTCAGGGCATTATGGGTTTCTTTTGAAGTCCTTTAGAGGCATTTTGAAGGCCTGAACAGCTGGCGTAGAGGGGCCCCTAGGGGCCCCCGAGATTCTTTTAGAAAGGGGCCCCATTTGAGGCCCCTTTTGATGTCTTCTGGGTACTAAAACGGGCCCCAAATGGCCAATTTGAGGGTCATTGGGGGCCCCTTGAGGGGCCCCCCAGGGTCTTAGAAGAGCCTTTGGAGGGCATCTAGAGGGGCCCCCAAAAGGGCCTCTAAAGGGACTTAATGGACTTTTAGGGGGGCCCCAGGGGGCCCCCCAAGAAGGTCTTAAAAGAACATTTAGAGGCCTAAATCCAGAGCCTTGAAGAGTCCCTTGAAGGGCCATTTAGCAGCCTCTAAAAGGCCTTAAAAGGGTCCCCTAATGGGCCTCCAGAGGGCCCAAGAGGGGCCCCCTTGGGGCCCCCAAAGGGCCCTCAAGGGCCCTTTGAAGGGCCCTCTGAGGGGGCCCCTCGAGGGCTTTTTGAGGCCCCCTAAGAGGCACTTTAATGTGGGTTTAGGGGCCCCTCTGCAGTCTCCAAGGGGGCCCCAGAAGCCCTTCTCAGTTGCCCATTTCTGTCCCTCAGGGGCCCTTCAGAGGCCCCTAAGGGGCCCCCAAGGGGCCTTTCAAAAGCCCCTTGAGGGCCCATTAGGGGCCCCTGAAGGGCCCTTTAAAAGCCCTTTAAGAGGCCCTTCGAAGGGTCTCTTTAAGGGCCCCTGAAGGGCTCTTGGGGGGCCCCCTCAGGGGCCCCTGGGGCCCCCTGGGGGCCCCTGAAGGCTCTCAAAAGAACACAAACGCACCTTAAACGCCTCCCCTGGGGCCCCCAGGGGCCCCCCTGGGGCCCCCCGGGGCCCCCCGGGGGCCCCCCGGGGCCCCCCGGGGCCCCCCGGGGCCCCCTGGGGGCCCCCGGGGCCCCTGGAGGGTGCAGTGGGGTTTAGTTTTCGCTTTCGGGGTCGGACTCGTCGAGGGCCTCGCTGCTGGGGTCTGGGCTGAGGGCCTCGCCCAAGTAATAAGCCACGGGAGACAGCCAAATTTCCCTTCTTATCACTTCTCCTACATCGGGCCTATTCTCGGGCCAAGGCTCTTTGCTGAACCACTCGAAGAGGGACCAGGGGCCCCCCTCCTCGTCGCTGTCGGGGGCCCCCCCCTCTTCCTGGGGGCCCCCCTGGGGGCCCCCCCGCTCTTCCTGGGGGCCCCCCTCGGGGGCCCCCCCGGGGGCCCCCGGGGGCCCCCCGGGGGCCCCCGGGGCCCCGTTGGCCCGCGCGCGGGCCGCGCGGGCCAGCGCCACGGGGTTGTTCTCTTTGTTGACCCAATTGATCTCCGTGGCTTCGACAACTTCTTCATCATCGGGAAAAGAAACTCCAAATCGAACTTCTTTGGTTAGTTCGAGAGGAGAGAAAAAGGCGCGAGCGGGTTCCGCGAAAACCTGCGAAAAAGCGCCCCAAAACGCCAAAAAACGAGGGTTTAGGGTTTAGGGTTTAGGGTTTGGGGGGTGGCGCCCGAAAACGGCGAAAAACGAGGGTTTACGGTTTCGGGGGTGGAGGCCGAAAACGCCCAAAAACGAGGGTTTAGGGTTTAGGGTTTGGGGGTGGAGGCCGAAAACGGAGAAAAACGAGGGTTTACGGTTAGGGTTTAGGGCTTGGCGGCCGAAAACGGCCAAAAACGAGGGTTTAGGGTTTAGGGTTTGGGGAGGCGAGCGCTTGCGCCTGCGAGAGAGGGATTTACGGCTAGGGTTTTGGGAGGGTTTAGGGTTTGGAGCCAGGGGGAGGGTTTAGGGTTTAGGTTGGAGTCAGGGAGAGGGTTTAGGGTTTGGAGTCAGGGATAGGGTTTAGGGTTTGGAGTCTGGGAGAGGGTTTAGGGTTTGTGGAAAACGCGAGGGTTTGGGGTTTGGAAGAAGGCCGAGGGTTTAGGGTTTGGCAGGTGGGCAAGGGTTTAGGGTTTAGCATCTGAGGGTTTCCCAAGTGTCAACAAAAGAGACCTCCACATAAAAGACAAAAAATAAATAAATAATAAATAAAAAATAAATAAAAAATAAATAAATAAAAAATAAAAAATAAATAATAAATAAATAAATAAAATGAAAAAGAAATAAAAAGAAATAAAAGAAATAAACAGAAATAAGAGACAAATAAAGACAAGAGAGAAAAAAGTCAAAAAGATTTTCGAAAAAACTCCGGGAGATTTAAAACATCTTTAAAAGGGTTTTAAAACATCTTTAAGAGGGTTTTAAAACATCTTTTTATGAGGGTTTTAAAACCCTTTTAAAGGGTTTTAAAATATCTTTAAAAGGGTTTTAAAACCTCTTTAAAAGGGTTTTAGAATATATTAAAAGGGTTTTAAAACCCCTTTAAAAGGGTTTTAGAAATATATTAAAAGGGTTTTAAAACCCCTTTAAAAGGGTTTTAAAACCCCTTAAAAAGGGTTTAGTGAAAACATCTTCGAAGTGTTTCCTAAAAGGCCTTTAGAAGTTATTGCAAGCGCTTCACAAAACATCTCTAAACTGCGTGAAAAAGCCCTTTCAAGCCCGAACCAAACCCTAAAAAAGGGTTTGGAGCCCTAAAAAAGGGTTTGGAACCCTAAAAAAGGGTTTGGAAACCCTAAATTAGGGTTTTGACGACGGACGAATTTGATTCTGTAGGAGCCGGCTGCGTCCAAGTTGTCCTCCAGAAAAAGGGCCTTCAAGTGCTGCAGCAGCGGCGCGTCAGCAGCAGCAATCAGCGCAAAGGCCGGGTGGTTTTTCAAAGCAGCAAACCAAAACCCTGGAACCTTTTCTAGGGTTTGCTGCCGCTTTTCGAAAAGGGGTTTTTTGGCCAAGTCGAACTCCCGCTGCACTGCCATTTGCTGCTGCGCGCACTCCTCTTCCAGCTGCTGCAGCGCCTCCTGAATGGCCTCCAGCTCCCCCATGTACGGCTGCAGCACCGACTCCCCGCTGCTGCTGCTGCTGCTGCTGCTGCTGCTGCTGCTGCTGCTGCTGCTGCTGTCGAGCTTCCGCTGCTTGCCCTCCGCCTCCGCGGGCTCCCCCGCCAGCCGCTCCCGCTTCGGCATTTCCGCTCCGCCAACAGCTCTCTCCGCTCTCGCCGCTCCGACGCGATTCCGAGCCGTTCGCGCCAAATCGAGGCTTTTTAAACAACTATTTCAAAAAATATTCAAAAATTAAACCCTAGTTTCCAAGAAAATCCGAAAAAACGCAAAAAATGACCCCGGAAACCCCGACGCGAACCCACGCACGCCGCCAGCCGCAATCCCCAGGTGTACGTACACCCCAACCCGCGTCGAACTGCTTCTTCAACTTTCCAAATTCTCAAATTCTCCAAAACTTCTTTTCTTCTTTTTTCCAACTCCCAAAGTCCTGCCCACAACCCCCTCAACAAGGCCTGCAAGAAGCCCCAAGCCAACCTACTGCAGCAGCAGCAGCAGCAGCAGCAGCAGCAGCGGCAGCAGCAGCAGCAGCAGCAGCAGCAACGCCCCACAACGCCAGCAGCAAATTCGCTCCAAATTTCCTCCCTTTTAATTTTTGCAGTTTTGCAAAAGATCTGGGCGCTGAGGTGTACGTACACTCGACGAAAAGGGAAAAAACGAGCCGATTGACTTCCACTGAGCACCCCTAAACCCTAAACCCTAAACCCTAAACCCTAAACCCTAACCCTAACCGCTGGGGCTTGATTTGGAAACCGCAAACCCTAAGCCGTAGAGCCTAGCCTCAAAATCCTAAGTCCTAAACCCTAGAGCCTGAAGTCTAAACGTTAAACCCTAGGGCCTGAGCTGCAAACCCTAAACCCTAAACCCTAAACCCTAAGGTCCAAGTCCTGAAGAGCCCTTCTAGCTAGGGTTTAGGGTTTGCAGGCCCCACGCGGGGCCAGTTCCCCCACAAACCCTAAACCCTAAACCCTAAACCCTCGAGGGTTTCGCGGAGCGAACTCCCCCAGGAAGGCCGCTGGGGGCGCCTCAGAGGCGCAAACCCTAAACCCTAATTTAGCGGATATGGGGGCTTTGGAATGTTTTATTTCGAATTATTATTTATTGCATTTGTAGGAAATTAATTTTTTTAATTAAATTTTTAATTTCAGAAAAACCCTTTCTGCGTCTCGTCTCTTTTACTCTCTTTGCTTCTTTAAAACTTTCTCTTGAAACTGCTTTTAAGAAATTTAATTTATTTATTTTATTTATTTAATTTATTTAATTTAAATTTATTTATTTTGTTTTTATTTTATTTTTATTTTCTGTTTCTCCTTCTCTCCCCAACTGCTGCCTTTTGCTGCAATTAGTTTCAAACAAAGAAGTCCTTTGGAGGGCCCTAAACCCTAATGGGGGCCCCTAAACCCTAATGGGGGCCCCTAAACCCTAATGGGGGCCCTAAACCCTAATGGGGGGACCTAAACCCTCATGGGGCCTCTAAACCCTCATGGGGGCCCCCCTGAACCCTCACGGAGGCCCCTGAACCCTCATTGAGGCCCTTAAACCCTCGTTGGGGCCCCTAGACCTTTTTGGGGGCCCCCAAACCCTCATTGGGGCCTTTAAACCCTCGGGGGGGCCCCTAAACCCTCATTGGGGCCCCAAACCCTCATTGGGGCCCCTAAACCCTCATTGGGGCCCCTAAACCCTCATTGGGGCCCCTAAACCCTCATTGGGGCCCCTAAACCCTCATTGGGGCCTCGGGACTGCAGAGGGGCCCCTAAACCCTCATTGGGGGCCCCAAACCCTCTTTGGAGTTCTTCCACACGCATTGGGGGCCCCAAACCCTGCCAGGGGCCCCAAACCCTCGTTGGGGCCCCCGAGGCTGCAAACCGCCAAACCCTCACCAAACCCTCGCTGGCGCCAGAGCAAGGCCCCGCCCGCGAGGGTTTAGGGTTTAGGGTTTAGGGTTTGGCGGTCCTGGGGCCCGTGGCGGTGCCAACTGTGCGCGTAAGACAGCAGCAACTGCGGAGAAGGGTACGGACAAGAGGGGGCCCCCCCCCTCCGGTCTTTGGGCCTCCATTTATTATCATATCTTCTCTTGGGGGCCTCAAAAAGGAGGGCCCCCAGACCCCCGGGGGCCCTCAGCAGCTGCAGCGCCAGCAGCGGGTCGTACCCTGCTGCATGCAGCAGCTGCAGCGCGAACTCGGGCGAAAACGGGGGCCACCGGGGGCCCCCACAGGGGCCCCCGCAGGGGGCCCCGCAAGCAGCCCCCTCGCAGGGGGGGGGCCCCTCCCAGGAGGGGGCCCCCACGCTGCAGGGG